GGGACGAGAAGTGCAGAAAGGTGACCTCACAGGTCAGGCAGTTGATGCTGGATGTCAGCTAAGATCTTGGTGGCGCTGTTGGCCACAACGCCCACATATGGCCTCTTCGTGTGGTGTGGGCTTCCTCCCAACATGGACACTGGATTCCAAGATGGAGAATGCCAGGAGAGAGCCAGGGACGCCATATTGCCTTTTCTGACCTGGCCTTGCACATCTTTTCCACTGTATTCTATTAATCAAACAGTCACAAAGGCCCAAGGGTAGGGGAAATAGACTTTGACTTTTGATGGGTAGTGACAAGGTTCTGGAAGAACATGTGAGCCTGAAAATATTGCTGTAGCCATTTTTGGAGAAGACTATTTGCCACAGTTCTCAATACACCTTTTTATAAATAAATGAACCCCTCCTTACTGCCTTTCAGCATTAACCACGGCTCCTATGCAAGACTCCCTTGGCACAACCTCATGCTGTGGATCTTCCCTAACTTTCTTCCTCATTCAGAATTCACCTGTCCCCATCCCAATCTACCATAGCCCTGCCTTTTGGAAAAGAAAAGTAGGGATAATAGATTAATAGATGAACCAATTCCTAATATAATACTAGCTTAGCTAGAGGTTGTAGAAAGGCTACACCTCTTGTACCACTAACAGATCCAGAAGGTCCACCCCGGGAACCTCAGGGAGAGGAGTGGACCTGATTGGGAGGGTGAGGGGAAGCAGGGTGGGTGATTGGCAAGCCATTCACACCCTTCAGCTTCACAGCCCAAGAGGCCACCTGGCCCATGCAGGGCTAAAACCCTTGCTCCCTACCCCGTCCGCTCCTCCCTGCACTCTGCCCGCTGCCACCTTCCTCTGCTTGACCTTTGGGGATGGGTGAGCCCCCAGGCTTAGAAGGGTAACCTTCTGGCCTGAATTCATTGATTATGGACCGGGCACCCTTAGCCCACATTTCTTCACCTGCTGTGGTTCCAGAAATCAGAAGGGGAACTGGGCAGCCTGTGTAGTCCCCAAAGGCCACTTAATGGTCAAAGACTCAGCAAGTCATCTAGTTCACTGCAGGAACCATCCAAAGAACATTAACCCTCTTTCCCCACACCATGTTGTTTTCCACATATCCCTTCTGATTCATCTGTATTTGTTCTCTGACTCATTAGGTCTGTGTTGTCCTTAATTACATATTGTAACGATGATGAAATATCAGCTTCTTCCTTCCTTTTATTATGTCCCTGCTGGTCAGGAGGTTCCAGCTTATACCACAAAGCTCAAGGGGCAGCCACTGGCCAAGTCCACTCCCTGTTCTGTCTTTCTCTGTCATTCACGCACACGTACACACTCACTCACATGCACACACTCATTCATAAATCACACGCTTTTTTGTTGACTTCTCGTTGGCTCTGGCCAAAGCCCAAACTCCTTAACTTGAGTTAGGACAGGCTCTGGCCCTGCCCACGTCCCCAGCTTCACCTCCTGCCACTCTCCCTTTGGTATTAAGGAGGGCTGAGCTTCCTTTGGTTCCTTAAATGGTCCATGTGCTCTCCGACCTGGTCCATACTATTCCCTCCACCCAGAACGGTCTTCTCCTTTCTCCTCAACCTTCAGCTCTCAGCTCAGAAGGCATTTTCCAGGAAGATTTCCTTGACCCTTAGGTGACATTAGTTATCTCTGTTTTATCTGTCCTGCATGTCCCTCTCATAACCCTCAGTTTATATGACTGTAATTACTTGATCATTAGCTGTCTGTCCTCGTCCCCCACCCCCACCGCTGTGGGCTTGGTGAGGGCAGGACCGCGTTCCTGTCTGGCTTGCTCATTGAGAACAGCATCCAGCATGGCACACACACAGTATTTGGATGAATGAGGCTGGAGGAGGCACATCACTCCTAACCATAGCTAGTGGCCATCTTAGTCTGCTTGTGCTGCTGTAATAAAATACCCGAGGCTGGGTAATTTATAAAGAACAGAAATTTACTGCTCACAGCTCTGGAGGCTGGGAAGTCCAAGATCAAGGTGCCGGCAGGTTTGGTGTCTCTCGTAAGGGAGCCATCTCCGCTTCCAAGATGGAGCCTTGAACATTTCATCTCCCTAGAGGGCAGAATGCTCTGTCCTCACATGACAGAAGAACAGACCTGAGAGTGGGAGAGAGAGAGCAAGAGGAGGCTGAACTCATCTTTTTATAAGGAACACATTCCCATGATAATGAACCTGTTCCTGTGATAATGGCATTAATCCATTCATGGCTCACTAGGCCCCACCTGTCAGTGCCGTTGCATTGGGGACTAAGTTTCTAGCACATAGTCTTTGGGGCGACACATTCAAACCATGGCCATGACTGGCCATGACTCCTCAGCCCTGAACATCATCAGCAGTTAAGCAAGACCCAACCAAGTCCCAGGTGCTACTGATCAAAGTGAAGGAACCAAAGGGAAGAGAAAAGGAAGAGTAATCTGGGGAAGAAAAAGAAGGCAGTGAAGAATGGAAGGGAAATAAGGAAAATGATGTGCACAGGGGACCCTGCTTTTCACACTGGAGTGCACGTGGCCCCAAGGTGCATGCCAATGTGCCAGGGAGTAATTAAAGCCACAGAATAATCTGTGCAAAAATCATAGAGGGTCAATTTTGCTTGATAATATGTCACTTACAAATTATTTTTAGATGAAAAGAGATTTATTATGAAGTCAGATGAAAGATTTTTTAAGGAAATAAATAAGGCTTCAAAGACACTTCATGAGTTTGTGGTAAGATCTTTGCTCTACCTCTCTCCCTCAACTCCCATCCAGAGACAGTCCATGCTGCAAGCTTTTGCCTTCAGATTCTTTGGTTTAAAACCCTGAGAAGCCCTACAGTGAGGCTTGGGCTTCCTCACAATATGGAGACTGGACTGCAAGATGGAGCATGCTGAGAGAAATCCAGCAAAAGCCATGTTGCCTTTTACAACCTGGCCTCACAACATCAATTCCACTGTATCCCGTTAATTTCTAAGGTCCTTTTCAACATCTCTTGGGGGCCAGATATTTGCAAAAGACAGAATCAGGAGAGACCATTTTACTTTCAGATGTTATGTCCTGTTCCTTCACAACCCTAAGGCCTCAGTGTACCCATCTGAAGTCTAGGTATAATGACCATTTCTTTTGTGAAAAGCTCATGCCTAGCCTCGACTTTGCCAGAATGCTAGTAGCTAAATAAATGTATGGATCCTGGATGCTGGATATATGACATGGATTATCTCCTGTAACACTCAACAGCAACCCCACGATTCTCACCATTTTACAGATGAGGACAAACTGAAGTTTAGAGAAATTAGGTAACTTACTCAAGGTCACACAGTGACTAGGTGGTGACACAGGGATTCATTCCCAGAAAATAGCCCCAGGACCTATATTTTCTGTCCCTAAACTCAGCTCCTTGGCAGTTTGAGGGCAGTTTGTTGGGAGCACTCCTCTGTACTTAATTGCTTAGGGTTTTCATCCTCATACCCATAGCAACCAGTCCCATCCCAGAGCAACCCAGAGAAACCGTCAGCAAAGCTGACCTTTTCCTCCAAGCTCTGAAAGAGGTAAAATAAGACAGTTTTATGAACCTTTGGCTCAGTGGGTAAGCAGACAATGTGCACCCTTCCCTTTTCCAGGAGTCATTGCAGATCACAAGTACATTCAGGAATCACATGTCCAGGTGACAAAGGAAAGGAGGAAATTCCTTCTCTATTCTTAAAGTAAGATCATAGGGTATTGCAGGCTGCATGATGAGCAGAAATTGTACTCTTCCTCCTCTGCCCAGAGATAAATGACTCTAACTCTCTAATCTCAATCTCTCTCTCTCTCTCTCTCTCTCTCTCTTTCTCATCATTACAGTATCTCATATCTGTCCTCTCTGGCTGGTTGACCAGAGTAAGTCACAACTGGAACACTAGAGGTCTAGACCAGAGCTTCTTGACCTTGGTCATTATTGACATTTAAACCAGATAATTCTTTGTTGGGAGACTGTAGAGTGTTTAACAGCATCACTGGCCTCTCTACCCACTGGAAGCCAATAGCACACACATGCACACACACAAATACAAACATACCACCCCCTGCAAGAAGTCATGATGGTCAAAAATGTCTCCAGAAATTGCCACACGTACCATGGAGGACAAAATCGCCCTCAGTTAAGAACCTCATCGGTCTAGACAAATGGGTCACTTACACCAAGGAGTTCCCAAGGAAAGTCAAGTCCAAGAGTATTTGTTGGTGACCATGAGAATTCCTTGCCTAGGATAGGGCTTTAGCATTTATGAAGCTTTCCCCTTTCATCATCATGTCCCTTGCCTTCATTGCATGTGTTACCGTTTCTAGTTGTAGCCGAAGCTGTCGATGCCCCCTCCAATGTCCCCCAGCCTTAGAACAGCATTCTGCCTGTGTCTGTGGCAGAGGATTGAATTGCCCTCCCCACCACGCCCCACCAGGGCAGCTCTCAACCAGCGGCTGGCAGGAGTCGGTGTATACATACCCCAGTTCTCTCACCTCTTGCGCAGGGTAACTCTGGATCACGTGTTTTGCATTGTTTCCCCAGATTTCCCCTCTGAGATTAAGTTCTAGTCACCCATAGTAGTAACCAGTTCACTACTGATTATTCTTTGGCACTTAACCGTGTCTGGCATATGGTGGGTGCTTAACAAATATTTCTTGGATATAAAATAAATGAATCCAATCTGAGAGGCTCCTGCCAACTAGGCCAACAAGCTACTTCAGGCCCAGAGAGGAGAAGTAATTTATTCAAAGCCATGGGGAAAGACACCACTGGCACTCAGAGTAGAATCCAGCTCTCCTGGATCTTTGCGGCACTGTGCACTGCCTCCTGGCGGGTCCAGCCGGGGGACAGACAAGAGAAGTGGGAGCTTCTAAGTCTATTGATGAGTCAGAGCATAAAACAACCCAGCTCCTCCTCAGTGTTCAGGGTGCAGCTCAGCAGCTCCTGCACTAGGAAGCCCCCTCTGATCACCCCAGCAGGTGGGTCACTCCCTGGTGTCCCTGCTACGTAGATCTCCATCACAGCAGCTACTGCAGGACATCAGATCTCTCTGCTCCATCAGCCTCCCCTTCTGGACTTTGATTTCTTTAAGGGCAAGGGACCAAAAGTTTTGAAGTTTTTCCTTTCTCTTTATCTCCATCATTTAGCACAGGGCCTGGCACTGAGAAGGTACAGAGCGTTTGTAGAATAAATTACTATGCAATTATGGAGCTAAATGGTATAGCACAATTTCTATGCACTACAAGAATTACAGGAATCTTGTGCCCTTACAAACTAATCTTTACTTCTGAAATCATCACGAAATCATCCCTCTAACATCTAATTGCAGAGAACCTTTAGAGGTATTGCAACAGAGGCATCAAGGAAACAGAAAAATAGTATTTGCTAACATTTACTGAGCATTCACCATATACTAGGCACCTGTCATGTATTGTCTCATTTAATGCTTATATCAACCCTTTGAGGAAAACATGATTTATTACTAGCCTTAATTTATGACTGAAGAAACCAAAGTTTGCGGAGGTGAGTGTGTACTGCCCAAGCCCATTCAGCAACCAGAGGAGACTGGAGATGGTGCTCTCAACAACCCTAAACCCCATCTATCCTTGAGAAATTTACACTTAGGAGTGGGAAATAAAGTGCAAATATGAGAAAGTTCTTGCTTTCTCATTCCTGGTCTATGAGTTTGTACAGGACAGAGACCATATCTGTCTCTTGTTTCCTTCATGCCAAACTTGTGCCTACCATACAGTAGGTGCCAAATAAGTGTTAGAAGACTATATGGATGAATCCTTGCACCCTAAGGAGATAGACATGAGTTTAGACCAGGTGAGAGCTGCCTGTGATGACTGCAGCCAGCATGCCAGTCAGTAAGACTAGGAGTGGGCATGTCTATGCACACGCTGGAGATGACTTGGGTTACGAGACCCCCACAATGTGCTGCCCCCCACAACAGCAGCCAGAAGGTTTTCCATCAAAGCGCAGGTCAGCACTTACTTCCTCCATGTAAGCTTCCCTGATGAACCCCACCTTGTCTCTTTAAACCCCTGCCGTTTGCAGAAGGGAAAACTGAGGCTTAGGCGCAAAGGATGACTTGACTGAAGTCAGGGAGACAGACGCTGGCTTTGAGCAGAACTCTTCACTCCTGGTGCTCTGCTCCTCACCCCTCTGCAGTCCTGCATGCAGTTTTACAGAAGCATAAACTACTTGTCCATTCTTTTATTCTTGTGTCCATTTATTCATCAGAAGCTCAAGATTGGACCAACCACAGACCTTAAAGATGGGAAAGATAAGACAGTTTGGTCTTTGTGTTGACACTCTCAGCTAGAGTAGCAAGAAAACGTTTATCCTGTTTTTGCCCAGAGGTATCTGTGAATCAGGCTTTCTAACTAGTCTGGCACCCAGTGGTTTATGTCCTGGTGCTGTCTTTCAAAAGACAGGGTGGGTTTTTGGATTTGGTTATCAGAGAAGAACCTCTGAGAGTCTTCAGAGAAAGCAGACAAGTCCTACCCTCCCCCAGCATTTGGGTTTTCGGCATAGGTCTGGTTGCTGCGTGTGTCATATCCAGCACAATTTTCCACACTTGAACTCTGGATAAGGCAGATCCATAGACCCTTCAGGGCCGCTGCTAGAACTGTCTTAAACTGGATCACCCCCTTGTTTGGGACCCCACTGGAGCTCGTGCATAAGCATTCTTGGACTTACCACATTGCAACTTAGCAGTGTACTTGTCTGTTCTCCCCAGACAGCCCGCTCCCCACTTCACTCGTGCGTGTGAATTCTTTAGGGCCAGGCACCAATTTTAATCATCTTTATATCCCTAGCGCATAGCACAGTGCCGCATAGCAGATGCTCAATAAATGATCAATGGATCAAATTACAATGACTCAGCCGAGTCAGAGCCAAGACAGTAGCATGTGCTTCCTTGGTGTGTAAAGAGGCAAGGATTTACTGCATCTGGCACGTGAAGGGCACTGGGACGTGAAAGTGAAGAGGAAGTACACAGTCCCTGCCCTTGCACAGTTAACAGTCCGGGGGAGGGGGGGAGCGGGGGGCATCAGACAAGTGAATGGATAAATACACAACACGGAGCAGGGGTATCTAGCCCAACTGGGGAGGTGGAAATATGAAGTGAAGCATTTATTCTACTTTTAGAAGTTATTGCACCTCTGTTTTTTACTAGTCAAGAAAAAGGTCATCCAACTCTCATCCATTCTACCCATCCGGGCTGGTAGCAGCCAATTGCAGGTGGACCATGTGGGGCTGGAGCTGCAGCCAGGAGATGCAGCTCTTCCTAACAGAATGAAACAGGCCCAGCCAATAGGATAATACCCAGGAATACCTGTTTGTGATCAATCTGGGGCTCGACCTCACACACACGCCTGTGACAATGCCCTGGCCTCGTGGTCCGTCCATGCCCAGGACTGACGCCTAAGGATGCGCAGTCTGTGTTTTTCACAAAGACACCTGGAGGGAGGTGAGGCGGCGGCAGAAGTCCAATATGTGTGTTACTTGACGAGCCATGTGCCTAGCTCAAGGCTGTGCCGGTCCAAGGAGACACCGTCAGCCCGGCTCAGTACCACCCTTATTTCCAGAAAGCGCACCTTGTTCTTCAAGATGCCCCCAGGCTAGCAGAGGCCCTGTCTGTGCCGAGCAAAGCCACTGCTGGGCTGGGAGGTGGGAGACAGGCGACAGCATAAGGCAGACGGATGTCCCCTCCCAAGTCTGAGAGCTGGCAGGAGACTTAGGTGGAGTCCCCGCCAAAGGGACGGAGCTGCAGCGCCCCAAATCCAAACCGCGTGTCTGCCTGGGGCGTGAGTGTGCACCCTATCTCAGGTCCTTAGAACCCAAACATCACCTTTGGCTGAGCTAAAAGTGCCCCTTACGGGGGACAAACCTGAACCTTACCCCTCACGACCACACCCCCTCAAGCCTCTGGTCACCTTCTCCTTTCTAAAAACTAAGCCCCCAGTATGTGTCCCCCATGCTGCTGTTGTGAGCACCAGGGAGGCCGCCAATCACCCCCTGCGACCACATTTCAAAGCCAAGTCGGCGGAGTGCCGGTGACTTCTGGGTGCCACAAAAAAACGATCACTCCCAAGCTCTGATCTATGGATTGTTTTGATTTCCTCCTTTGAACTCTTCCCATCCTGCTCCAGCGGCAGACAGAGATACTGAATTAAGCGACAGACAAGTTGGAGACAATGAGTGCCGGGAGGGGCCCCTCCCTCCCCTGGCTGCCCTCCCCTCCCCTCCCCGAAATGTGCAGACATCTGCTAGCTGGAGCCCAGCGCTGGAGCCATAAAGAAGAGCTGGCAGGATGGTGATGTACAGCCCTGGGCCCTCCTGAGCTGACTGGCTCTAACCTCCAACGGAGACAGGCTCACCCCGTGGACGGCGGAGCCCTTTGTTTTACGCCACTCAGCAGAGGTGCCTTGGCCATGCTGAAGATTTAACCAAATTATAATGAATGGTCCTCGGCAGCGCTGTGCCCCTAATTAGAACAAGTCCCACAGACATATTGTCTCCCTGATTTCCTCTGTTCCATTTCTCGCACTCTCTTTCTCTGCTCGGGACACATGGGCCCCATTAAAACATTCTAGTATTTAATGTGGTTCCCTTAAATTACTTCTCAAGTTTTCGAGTTCCATTTAGAATTGGATTTTACTCTTTGGACTGTGTTTTTGATTTGGGGCTTTGTACGTTTGGTAGCCGCTCTTTTTCTCCCCCTAGTGGAGACTGTGGAGGCCACTTGATAGTTCGCCCGGGGGGAGGGCCGGCAGCCGAGCCTCCGCTGAGCTGATCGGAGGGTGGTCCTCGGGGACCCTTGGTTAACTGAAGACTTCGTTTGCACCTCTCTTCGAGGAGAAAGAAGAACTTAATGCAAACATAAGCTGATATTGTTGATTTCACCACCCTCAGCCTGATCGCCTCATCCCCATCGCAATTGAAAGGGGTGAGGACCTTGTAGGTCTATCACAATTTATACCAAATGGATGAGGGAAAAACACCTTCCATGGCCCATCCTGGAGGTCAGCGCAGAAAGATCCCATAGCTGAATTCACTTAAGATGATCCTGGGCCTCAAATCTGCACAATCCATATTCTGTAGAAAATGAGTTTCCTGCCTTTTCCAAGCAAGGAAGATGACTCGCACTGTTTACAGAGGCTGACAACACAAAAGCATGCAACAGGCAGTCCAGTGAGCTGAAAGTCTGTCTTCCCTGAGAACTTGTCTGTGTAAATTGCACCCTGAGTGTCTGGCTATAGAAGCACTAGACATACATACCCACACCCAGATAGGGATCTATAGGGAAAACTCTGGAAAGATTCCAGGGGAAGATACCGTCGCCCGCAGCCGCTGGCTGGGTCTGTGTGAAGACAGACTCCACACCCTCCGTGTGCTCTCCAGCAGCAGTTTAGAGTTCCTTGGATGCAGAATGTTCTGGGTGAAACCTTTGAATCGGAAGGGCTTCGGAGGTCCTCTGGTTCTTCCCCAACCTCTGCCCCCCTAAGCCAGGAAGCCCTCTAATGCCGCCTGCGGATGTTCGTGTGGTCCCTGCAGACGGGACACCTCATCCTCCCAAGGCAGCCGAGGGCATCTGAGAATCGCTCCAAGGCACACGGTGGAGTCGTGAAGGTAGCAACCCCGAGAATCCCTCTGCGAGATCTCAGCAGAGGCATTCAACCTCTACGGAAGCTCACTCATTCGACAATACTCACCAGGCACTATCGCGGGTGCTGAGGACACAGCAGTATATAATTTCTTGAGCATTTCAAACAATCACGTGATCCGCGACACGGAAATAATTGCTCATTTCACAAATGAGCGCAGGTTTCTGAAACTCACAAGCAGTATACAACTGTCATTATTTCTCTTGGTTACAATGATCAGAAAGGTATTCTTTATATGTAGTAAGTTGACTTTTCCCTTTGATTTTAGTTCTACCTCAAAGGATGGACCGACTCCGTCCTCAATAACATACATCTCTCTCACAGATCTTCTTGTTTTTGCTCTTCCAGGCAGAATGTTCTCTGATCCTTCAGCCTCTCCTCACACCACATAATTTCTGGAACTCTCTCCATCTCAAACAGCCCCTCTCTGAGCAGACTCTAATTTTTCAATGCCCTTCTCCGAACTGGTGCCCAGAATTGGATAGGACACCCCAGGTGTCATCTGACCGAAAACATAATGAGACAATTCCTTCCCAAGGGTACTGGATTTCCATGAGTACTTCTGTCTTCTGTTGTGTTGGATTGTTAGCAATCACATCACACTGTGGGCTTATTCCGAGCTGGTGGTCATTTAAAAGCCCCAGATATTTTTCACGTGATTTCCTGCGGAGGCAATATCCCCAACTCAGTGTTTTTGCCGTTTGTTTCTTGCATGTAAGTGGCAGACTTTACATTTAGGCCTGTTCCGTCGTATCTTATTGTTTTTGACCCAGCATTCCAACCTGTCAGGACCATGCTGGGCCCTCATTCTGTCACCTCTGGTATTAACTCTGCCTCCCGCATTTGTGACATCCACACTTTGATCAGCATGCCTCCTGAGTTGTCATCTAATGATAAATCAGACGGGATCAAGGCAGGAGCCGCTGGCGCTCTGGGAAGCCTCCTTGAAGGTTGACTTCCATTGTGATGAGGTGGACACGGCCGCCTTCAGGAAGCCAGGAGGACTGTCTGCACGGCCACCCACGGGACTTCCTCTGACTCTCCCTCTGCCTCCCACCTGCTTCTGCCTTTGTGTTCCCCACTCCCAAAACCCACATCCACCTCTCTAGTGCCTCCTTGGGACCATTCCTGTCACATCCACACCCATCCTGTATCCACCTGACCCTCTCTGCTCCACCCAGTGTCCCTGGCTCAGGGTCTGCTGGTGCTAGTCCTGCCCATTTCTGGACTGTCCCACCCAGAGTGTCGGCCTTTCGCTCCCAGCCAAGCCCTTGGCCCAGGACAACATGTGATGTCTCTCCCCACCACCCTGGCAGAGCTCAGTACACGGGCTGTGACATCCATTCAATACTCAACACTCTCTGGACTCAGCTGCTGAGCCAGCTGCAAATGCACAAAACCACTACTCTCATCCAACCCACATTTCACCATCTTAGCCGCAAGGAAACCATGAGAGAAGCTGTTAACCCTAAGCTGAAATTGAGACCTGCCATGTTTATGGCGTACACCTGATCCACAAACATGGTAACCCTATCGAGAAAGGAAATGAGGCTACTTTGGAATAACGTGTGCTCAGTGAAGTCATTTTGCTCTCGACTGACCACTGCATTCCTTCCTAAATGCTCACCCACCATCTGCTTCTTAATCCATCCTGCTTCCCTGTTGTCATCTACCTCAAACCTACTTGTCTGCAGTTTCCGGAAGCGATTTCTTTTCCCTTTATGAAAATCAGGATAATCTCTGAGCAGTTCCTGATTCTGGCACCACCTTCTATTCTCCACAATTACTTAAAAGTCACAGACACTGGCTCCCCAATCTCACTGGAAAGATCTTTCCGCACCTCGAGATGTGAGTCATGGGGCCAGTTCCTTGGACCCACTTACATCAGCTTCTTGTCTTCTTCCTTCTGATCTCCTTATCTTTCTTGAGCTCTGAGCCAGTCAGGATGCCCTGGGCTGCAGAGAGCGGAAATCCTAGGCTCAACTGGCTTACACAGTAGGAAAAATTAATTAATTATCTCCTAAAAGGAGAAGGGCCAAGAAGAGGGCCTTCAGGATTGGTTACTTGAGTAGGTGGGTGACACCTCCAAGGATACATCTCTACCCTTTTGTTCTGCCACGCTCAGGTTGTCAATTTAATTCCCTCCTGATATCAAGACAGTTTCTGCAGTTCCAGGTATGCCGTGCAAACACACCAGTGTCCATTGGTAAAAGAAAGACGGCTGGTTTCACTCATCTCTTGTCCAAAGCAAGGACACATTTCCAGAAGCCCTGGCTGACCAGTCCTCTCCTCTCTCGGATCAGGAGTCAGTCTCAGGCCCATCCTCACGCCAATCAATGATGAGAACGGAACCGCAAGGACTGCCTTGGACCACTGCGCCTCACACATAGGAGAGGGGTGATGGCACTTTAAAAACTCAGCAATCCGCGGACAAAGAGGGAGGAAGTGACTGTTGTGTGAGCCATCACTGTCTCTGTACGAGCTTCGAATCTCTATACTGCACATTGTTTGCTCTTCCCTTTCTGGTTTGACATCCTTGATGGGAAAATTATATTTTCCATTTCTCTTTTACGTTCTTTCTTTTTATTCAACATGATTTTCTTTTGCTTCTGCTGGTTTTTGCTCTCTAAACAGAGCCCCCAAAGACGTTATACTGTCCTCAGACTGTCTCCCTCTTTAAATCTCAGCTTATTCTGAATCTTAGCCTTCTCGTCACTATTTCCAAAGGCCCCCTCCACTCTTTGGTGTTGGGCTTCAGGACACCACTGGCCCTATGTCCTTGTAAAGTCAGAACTCACCATAGAGCAACCTGCACAGCTCAGGTGTGGCTTTAGTCACCTGCTCCCTCCCCCTCCACTGTGTCCTCTTGCGGTCAGCTCTGGCTATAGTTTTACAATGGCTTCTAGAACATTCTACCTTCCTTTATGATGGGCACATTATGTTGTTCCGGGGATCATATTTCCTTTGTTGAACTGTTTGTCACACACCATCCCTGACCCTACCTCCGTCTCTGGGTGAGACAGTGACCCAGGCTGGCCCTGTCACCGTATGCCACTCATCTCACAATAGTGATTCATTCAGAGGGGGGCATGAGACTCAGTAATGCCAAGTAGAGATCTGGCTTGGGTTGAAAAATAGAGATTGACAGAGATAAAGGGCACTCATCCACCCGGGTTGCTCAAGTGGGAAGATACAAATCTGAAATCATAGGCAGTTGCCTTTTCCACGTGTCAGCAGATGCCAGTGCCCAGAACCAGGGCTGAGGTGATGGAGATCAAAGCAGCCCTAATTGCCTTGTTGGAGATCCCGACAGCAGCAGTGCCTGACGCTGGTCACCCCCAGACCCCCGGTCACAAGGGCCAACCTACCGCCTCCTTCACAGGCCATTGAAAGTGCCCTAACATGACGTGCCCTCCTCAAGTCTGGGCACGTGTTTAAAAGGGGCCATCGTCCTCCTTCTTCACTATCACAATCCTCAGTATGACGTGGTCTCTCTCCCCCAAGCTTCCCACAACTTCCATGCGAACGGCAAGTTCATCCCTGCATCTACGAAACGCAGACAGTTTCCTCCTCGTCGCCTTGTCTTTCAGAGAGCATGTCCTCTGCCATGCCAAGTGAAAACGCCTTGCCAGACATTCGGTTTTTATATTTTTTTTTTATTTCAGCATATTATGGGGTACAAATGTTAAGATTACGAATATTGCCCATGCCCACCCTCCGACATTCGGTTCTTAGGTGATAAGACTCGCACCCCAGCAGATCGACTAGAAAGGAGACGTCCTCATCATTTCTTTGCCTGTCTGTGCTAGAAAATCAGAACTTTTTCAAAATCACCCTGTGTCTTCTGTTAGCCAGGTGGCCACATGTCCGTAAGAGCTGAAGCCGTGCAGATATGCTAGGGCTTCGTTCTCACTCCATTCTATCTAGCTGTCTTGGACAAATGCTTGACCTTTAAACATGCGTTTCTTTATCCATATATGGAATAATAACAGTCCATGGTTTTAATTTGTAGTGAAAAAAATGTATATTGCATGCAAAGTGTATGATGTGCCCTACCAATAAAAAAAAAAAGGTCAGTAAACATTGCAGAGATCATTACTCATTTTTTTCATTACTCAAATTTCCTACTCTATTCACCCTCAAGTCAGGCAATTTCATACTTGCCTAGTACCGGGCCACTCCTCCTGCCTTTGTCAGAACTCTGTCTTTCAAGACCATCCACATGTTCTCTTTGCATCTCACCAGGGTCCGACCTCTGGAATCATATTAGGGCTCATGGACATGTCAAGTTGGCCCTGACTCTTATCTGTGGATTGGTGCAGACTCCTGAATATGCCACTTCCCTGTCTGCATCGCTGTTTCCCTGTCATCCTTTGCTGAGAGCCTGAGCTGAGCTTTTGCTTGTTCTGCATTCAGCGTATGACCATCGGGCATCTTGTTTGCACGGCCCCATTATCCTCCACACTGACCCGCATCTACACCCAAGTTCTCATCCTTCATCGCTATAAGAAACACTGCACAGGACATTCTAAGCACAGCAGAAACATAACTCCAAATGAACATGAGCATCGCCTGTTTCAAAAGCCCTTCTCTACCCTGCCTAATGTTTCACCTGTCCTCCTCTACCTCTGCCTTCCTCCCGCTCTGCCACTGGCTGCAAATCCCTGGCTTGTTTTTGGTTTTTTTGACTAATAAGGTTTGGGTTGGCACAGTGGGCTCACCCTGTAATCTTAGCACTCTGGGAGGCACGACAGGAGGATCACTTGAGGTCAGGATTCAAGACCAGCCTGAGCAAGAGCGAGACCCCGTCTCACTAAAATAGAAAATTAGCCGGGCATGGTGGCGGCACTTGCCGTAGCCCAGCTACTCGGAGGCTGAGGCAGCGAGGATCGTTGAGCTCAGGAGTTTGAGGTTGCTGTGAGCTAGGCTGAGCTGAGCATGGGACAATAGATGAAACCTGTCTCAAAATGAAATAAATAAAATAGGAGAGAGAGTTTAGCTGATCCTTTTTTCCTTGACTTATGCTGGATTATCTCTCCGGGTCCTACCTTCAATCCCAAACTGTTATCAAGCATTTTCCTGATTAAAACAGTTCCTTTCTTAAGAGTTCTGGTGTAAGATACGGACATTTTCATTCATTCATATAATTTATATCAGGTTATCTGAGTTTGTGTTTTCTTCTTCCGTTTAAAGCATTTGATCAGGTAGGCAAGTCTTTTTTCACATATACTCTCCTTGGTTTATAAGAGGCACTCCACACCTGGATCGTCCTCTGGTATCATAAACCAAGGTTGCAGATGCCATATGCTGTTTTATTTCATTCTGTAAAGACGCTGATTCCTTCTGTTGAAAGCCCCAATTTCAGAGAGAAAAGAAGACAAAGGAGATGAGATAAGGCCTCTACACCTTCAAGTTGTTCATTTCTTATCTATAGTATTAAAATCTAGGCTGCCAAGAATGGATTAATAAATGTGGTATATATACATGGAGTACTACTCAGCTCTAAGAAACAATGTGATATAGCACATCTTCTATTTCCTGGTTAGAGCGGAACCCATACTACTAAGTGAAGTTTCCCAGAATGAAAAACAAGCGACCACAATACTCACCAGTAAATTGGTATATGAATAGCACACCTAAGTGGACACATAGGTACTACAGTAATAGGTATGGCAGGTGGAGGGGGGCGGGGGCGGGTATATACATACATAATGAGTGAGATGTGCACCATCTGGGGATGGTCATGCTGGAAACTCAGACTGTGGGGGAGGGGAAAGCATTTATTGAAACCTTAAAATCTGTACCCCCATAATATGCCAAAATAAAAAAAAATTAAAAAATCTAGGCTGGGTGCGGTGGCTCACACCTATAATCTTAGCACTCTGGGAGGCCAAGGAGGGCGGATTGTGTGAGCTCAGGAGTTCGAGACCAGCCTGAGCAAGAGCGACACCCCTGTCTCTACTAAAAATAGAAAGAAATTATTTGGACAGCTAAAAATATATAGAAAAAATTAGCCGGCATTGGGTGCATGCTGTAGTCCCAGCTACTCGGAAGCTGAGCAGGAGGATCACTGATCCCAGGATTTAGGTGGCTGTGAGCTAGGCTGAGGCCACGGCATGATAGCCTGGGCAACAGAACCAGACACTGTCTCAAAAAAAAAAAAAAATCTAGAGAGTTGCGGTAGTCTAGACCTCTGCTCACTGCACCCAGTGATTTCCAGGGAACTCAGCAAAACTAAGTAGTGACTGGTAGTTCTGATGGCTCTTGGCAGATTCTTCATCACATCTCGAACATGATGCACACGTTCAAGGCAGAAGTCAGGGCAGCCCGACTCACAGTGACTTCCACGCCCCATCCAGGGGAGCACTGCTCGTCACCACGGTGCACCTGTCCCTCTCTGGAGCATGACTGGGCTCCTTACACTCTCTTATGCCACTTAGCATGGGGGTGGGCGAGTCTAGAGTTGGGATTTCTTCAGAGCATCTACACTCTTTGACACTCTACCCTGGTGGAACAAGCCCGGGTAGAGAGGCAGACTGGGCATGTAATCAGATTTCATCACTGTACAGAGTAAAATTGTGTCAGGATCCAAAAAAATAGCACCAAAGGTGAGTCAGTAGTAGGTGTATTTATTCACAAAGGACCCCCAGCGTCATTCTAGAAAGAGGTGCTTGGGCTGTGAAAGAAATCAGAAATCTTAAGTCTGAAGAAGAAACACACAAAAGGGACAAGGACCCAAGAACTGGATGCAGGTGCAGGGGACCAGTATGGGGGGCCCAGTCTGGGGGAGCCCAGATCTTCTTAGCAAACCCTTTGTTTGCTCCCAAGGTGGATTCTACTTGGCTGGCTGTGGATGTCCTGGCTCCTCTACTCTACCCAAGGGATATAGCACCAAGCCCTGTCCACTGAGGGACTGTGGGTTTATGAGGAGTATTTTCAAGGCAGTTTCTGCTTCTCTTCCTTCCCTAGGTAATATTCTTAAACTACCCTGATTCTCGGCCTTTTTAACAAAGTCCCAGCCTGAGCCTAAGCTGTGTCTGCCCCAGTCGAGCCTTCGGATGATTGCACCTCCCGCTGTTACCCAGCCTGCAGCCTCCTAAGAGCCCCACACCAGGACTGCCCAGCCGAGTCTCTCCTGCTTCCTCACCTGCAGAAACTGAAATAAGACATGATGAGTGCAGCCTCTCATGCCCCACCCCACAGACCCACAATGGACATGTAGCATGAGAAAAAAAAATCCCTATTGTGAAAAAAAAATCCCTATTGTTTTAAACAACTGATACTTGGGGGCTGCTTATAACTGCAGCATAACCTAGTCTCAGCTAACTGAAACATTAGGTTTTATAAAGTTAAAGTTTTTATAAAGTTGTTAAGTTCCAAGTGCTTTAACATGTGTTAAAGCGCAAATAAAGTTCATGTCCAAAAAGCTACTTACAAGTGCCTATATTGTATAGGTATCTCAACAAGGTGGCAATAATAATTCTTGGCTCCCTGCTGGAAACTTTCCCCGCACCCTGGATGTCCTCTGCTTGTGGAAAGGTCTATTTAGTGAGAGTGAGACCTGTGCATTCCCGAGGCGAGTGGTTCTCTGAGGTTAGGAGGCATAAGATTCCCTGCAGAGGTCGATAACGTACAACCCCAGGTCTCACTAGCAGGGAGTCAGCTTCAGGGCATCTGGAGCTTAGGAATCTGCAGTTTCAATAAGAGCACCAAGGGATTCTGAGACAATTGGTGTTCAGACTGGACTTGACAAGTCTCTGGGCAGGTATGTAGGGGACACCCTGCTGAGGTCTCAGTATGGCAGAGTGGGGGGTTGCAGCGTAGCCCAGTGGGTGTTGCAATCAGGCAGAACTGGGTGAGAATCCGGGCTGTGCC